AAGACCACAAATAGGAATAAGAAAATTACAAAAAAAAGAAAAAAAAAGAAAAACCACACACACAATAAAATCACTGGTAAAGGCAAATATGCAGTAAAGGTAGCAGATCAACCACCTATGAAGCTAACATAAAGGTCAAAAGACAAAAGTAGTAAAATGATCTATTTCCATGATAAAGGTTAATGGATACAGATGCACAAAAAAGAGGTTAAATATGATATAAAAAACATAAAATGTGGGAGTAGGGGAGTAAAAGAGTAGTGCTTTCAGCAAGAAGTCAAACTTAAGAGACCATCAACTTAATATAGATTGCTATATATGTAGGTTATTATATATGAACCTCATGGCAATCACAAACCAGAAATCTATAATGAATACACAAAAATTTAAGAGAAAGGAACCCAAACATAATACTAAAGAAAAGCATCAAACCACAAGGGAAGAGAGCAAGAGAAGCAGAATGGAACAGAGACAAACTACTAAAACATCCCCCAAAAGTAACAAAATGGCAATAAGTACATACTTATCAATAGCTACTTTAATTGTCAATGGACTAAATGCTCCAATCAAAAGACACAGGGTGGCTGACTGGATAAAATACCAAGACTCATATATATGCTGCACACAAGAGACACACTTCAGACCTAAAGACACTCAGAAACTGAAAGTGAAGGGAAAGAAAAAGATACTCCATGCAAATAGCAATGAAAACAAAGGGGGGTAGAAATACTTATATCAGACAAAATAGACTTTGAAACAAAAACTGTAACAAGAGACAAAGGAGGGCACTACACAATGATAAAGGGAACAATCCAACAAGAGGATATAACACTTGTAAATACCTATGCACCCAGCACAGGAGAACCTAAATATATAAAGCAACTATTAACAGACATGAAAGGTGAAATAGACAGTAACACAATAATAGTAGGGGACTTTAACACTCCACTTACACCAATGGATAGATCATCCAAACAGAAGATCAACAGGGCAACATTGGCCTTAAATGACACATTAGACCAGATGGACTTAGTAGATGTAGACAGAACATTTCATCCCAAAGCTACAGAATACACATTCTTTCAAATGAACATGGAACATTCTCCAGTATAGATCACATATTAGGCCACAAAACAAGTCTCAATAAATTTAAGAAGACTGAAATAAGGCAAAGTATCTTTTCTGACCACAATGGTATGAACCTAGAAATCAACTACAGGAAGAAAATGGGGAAGCCACAAATATGTAGAGATTAAACAAAATGGTAGTGAACAATGATTGGGTCAACAAAGAAATCAAAGGAGAAATCAAAAAATACCTGGAGACAAATGAAAATACAACATGCCAAAATTTATGGGATACAGCAAAAGCAGTTCTGAGAGGGAATTTTACAGCAATACAGGCCTACTTCAACAAACAAGAAAAATCTCAAATAATCTAACAGTGCAACTAAAGGAGCTAGAAAAAGAAGAACAAACAAAGCCCAAAATCAGTAGAAGGAAGGAAAAATAAAAGTCAGAACAGAAATAAATGAAATAGAGACCAAAAAAAAGAGAAAAATGAATGAAACAAACAGCTGGTTCTTTGAAAAGATAAACCACATTGACAAACCTTTAGAGAGACTCAAGGAAAAAAGAGAGAAGGCTCAAATAAATAAAATCCAAAATGAAAGAGAAGAAATTACAACGGACACCTCAGAAATACAAATGATGATAAGAGAATACTACAAAAAGCCATACACCAACAAATTGGATAATCTAGAAGAAATGGATAAATTCTTAGAATTATACAACCTTCCAAAACTGAATCAAGAAGAAACAGAGAATCTGAACAGTCCAATCACCAGGAAGGAGATTGAAACAGTAATTAAAAATCACCCAAAAAATAAAAGTCCAGGACCAGATAGCTTCCCTGGTGAATTCTACCAAACATTCAAAGACTTAATACCTATCCTTCTCAAATTCTTCCAAAAAATTGAAGAGGAGGGGAAGTTTCCTAATTAACTCTACAAGGCCAACATTACCATGATACCAAAACCAGACAAGGACATCACAAAAAAAACAAAATTACAGGCCAATAGCATTGATGAATATCAATGCAAAAATCCTCAAGAAAATACTAGCAAATTGAATACAACAGTACATTAAAAAGATCAAGTGGGATTTATTCCAGGGATGTAGGGATGGTTCAACTCTGCAAATCAATCAATGTGATACACCACATTAACAAAATGAAGAACAAAAATCACATAATCACCTCAATAGATGCAGGGAACGCATTTTACAAGATTTAGCATCCATTTATGATAAAAACTCTGAATAAAATGGATATAGAAGGAAAATACCTCCACATAATAAAGGCCATATATGACAAACTCACAACTAACATCAAACTCAACACAGAAAAACTGAAAGCTATCCCTCTAAGAACAGAAACCAGACAAGGAGGCCCACTTTCACCACTCTTATTTAACATAGTATTGGAAGTCCTAGCCAGACCAATCAGGCAAGAAAAAGAAATAAAAGAGATCCAAATTGGAAAGGAAGAAGTAAAAAGGTCACTATTTACAGATGACATGATTTTACAGATGACATGATTTTACAGAAAATTCACTTCATCATAGAAAATACTAAAGAATTTTCCAAAAAACTTTCAGAAATAATAAATGAATATAGTAAAGTTGCAGGGTACAAAATCAACATACAAAAATCAGTTGTGTTTCTATACACTAACAATGAAGTAGCAGAAAGAGAAATTAAGAATAGAATCCCATTTACAATTGCAACAAAAAGAAAAAACACCTAGGAATAAATTTAACCAAAGAGGTGAAAGACCTATACAATGAAAACTGTAAAACATTGTTGAAAGAAACTGAAGAAGACACAAAAAAATGGAAAGATATTCTGTGCCTTGGATTGGAAGAATTAACATAGTTAAAATGTCCATACTTCCTAAAGCAATCTACAGATTCAATGCAATCCCTGTCAAAGTTCCAATGATATTTTTCACAGAAATAGAACAAAGAATACTGAAATTTATATGGAACAACTAAAGACCCCAAATAACCAAAGGAATCCTGAGAAAAAAGAACAAAGCTGGAGGCATCACACTCCCTGATTTCAAAATATACTACAAAGCTATACTAATCAAAAAAGCATGGTACTGGCACAAAAAACAGACACACAGATCAATGGAACAGAACCGAAAGCCCAGGAATAAACCCACACATCTTGGGACAGCTAATTTTCAACAAGGGAGCCAAGAACATACAATGGAGAAAGGAAAGTCTCTTCTATAAATGGTGTTGGGAAAACTGGACAGCCACATGCAAGAGAATGAAAGTAGACCATTCTCTTAAACCATACACAAAAATTAACTCAAAATGTATTAAAGACTTGAATGTAAGACCTGAAACCATAAAACTTCTAGAAGAAAATATACACAGTATGCTCTTCAACATCACTCTTGGCAGCATATTTTTAAATACCATGTCTGACCAGGCAAGCAAAACAGTAGAAAAAAAATAAACAAATGAGACTACATCAAACCAAAAAGCTTCTGCACAGCAAAGGAAACCATCAATAAAACGAAAAGACAACCTAACAACTGGGGGAAGATATTTGCAAACCATATATCTGATAAAGGGTTAATATCCAAAATATATAAAGAACTCATACATCTCAACAACAAAAAAACAAACAGCCCAATTAAAAAATGAGCAAAAGATCTGAACAGATATTTTTCCAAAGAAGATATACAGATGGGCAACAGGCACATGAAAAGATGTTCAACATCACTCATTATTAGGGAAATGCAAATCACAACGACAATGAGATACCACCTCATGCCAGTCAAAATAGCTATAATTAACAAGACAAGAAATAACAAGTGTTGGAGAGGATGTGGAGAAAAAAGAACTCTCATACACTGCTGTTTGGAATGCAAACTGGTGCGGCCACTATAGAAAACAGTGTGGAGATTCCTAAAAAAAATTAAGAATGGAACTACCATATGATCCATATGATTCCACTGCTGGCTATTTTTCCAAAGAACATGAAAACACAAATGCATAAAGATATATGCACCCCTATGTTCATTACGGCATTATTCATAATAGCCAAGACTTGGACACAACCTAAGTGCCCATCAAGGGACCAATGGATAAAGAAGATGTCGTATACATACACAACAGAATACTACTCAGCCATAAAAAAGATGAAACCTTGCCATTTGCGACAACGTGGATGGACCTTGAGGGTATTATGCCAAGTGAAAAAAGTCAGAGGGAGAAAGTCAAATATCGTACGATCTCACTCATAAACGGAAGATAAAAACAACCACAACAACAGACAGATACATAGATACAGAGATCAGACTGGTGGTTACCAGAGGGGAAGGGGGAAAGCAGGAGGGCAATAGGGGTAACTGGGTACACGAGTAAGGTTATGGATAGTAATTAGTCTTTGGGTGGTGAACATGATACAATCTACAGAGAAATAAAAACATAATGAGGTACATCTGAAATTTACATAGTGTCATAAACCAATGTTACATCAATAAAAAACAAGTAAATAAATAAATAAACAAAAACCAATAAGTATTTTTTAGACATCGTTGGAAAAATATTTTAGGAATTAGAATGGGCATAAAGAAAGGGCAGAATGGCTAATATGAATAAGTCATTCTCTTTGTAGTTATTTTCTCTTAAACATAACAGGTGAAGTGAAAAAGCACAAACTGCTTTTCATATTTTGTTTATGTTTACAAGAACTAATTTAAGTATCCTTGTACAAAACCCTCACCACCTTTGTAGAACAGAAAATGTGACGGTCCTGGCTCCAGCAGGAAGAGAATCTCCCAGTATACTTCGTAGGAGATATCCTCACCTTAACAGGGAGTTACTTGCAGGCAAAACCAGAGCTTGAAACATTTGGTTTCTGCTTTATGACTACAAGGTAAGAAGCAGAAGCTCAGCAAGAGTCAGCAGGAAACGATCTTACCTGTACCATTGAGTGTAGAATTTTTATTTGTGTACAGCCTGATCATATGTCCTATTGTCTTCACATTTTCTTTCAACATTATTCCTCGAGCTTGTACCATAAAGAGATATGTGTTGGCTATAAAAGGAAAAAGAGAGAATGCCATGACTCAATAAGCTTTTTTTTTTAATTTAACACAATAATATTCAGAATTAGGTAACTGCCCAATAAACCCAAATGGACTCAATTAGCATATCGAACGGGAAAACAGAAATACAAAATGACTATTCCCCATTATCAAAAACTTACAAAAACAAATCATTATAAAACAATAAAAACAAAAAATTAAAGTAGTAATGTCCATCAAATAGAATGAGACTAAATGAGCAAACTGAAATATCATAATGAATCCCTTCATCCATAAGTGATTTTCTACTATAAAATATACTTAGAAATTTCAAAAAGTCATTTTATTACAAGTATTCAATCATATAGTTGTAAAATTCACTTTCTCTAATTCTATATTAATTCTTTCAAACCAAAAACTCCAGAGAGATGAAGATTCCTCATCAAATCATAAATACTTTATCATAAATCACCATAATATCTAGTATGGATATGGATCTTGCAAAGTCTCGATGTGTTGGCGGGCACAGGGGGCAGGATGATCTAGAATCAGTATCCGTTTTGGTAATTTCTCTCTGAGAGTTAATTACTTAAACTGTTACACTCCCTTTCAATCACAAATCTACCTACCAAGATTGTAAAAGCAGACGAAATCAAAATCAATGTTCATTCTCAAGCTGGTCAGTTTAATTCTTTGTGATAAGTGCTTCAAAAATAAGCCTCTAATTTCTTCCTTAGGGAGAAACTGGTAAATTGACAAAGATTATAAAAATCCCTGCCTTTCGAGATGCCGAGCCTCCTCAGAGAGGCACAGAACTAAAGTCAAAAGATCCTTCCTTTCTTGGTCCTGATTCTGCTGGTACAGTGCCTAACACTGGACAGCTCACTGCACCCCGGTTTCATCTAAAAAAGGCAATATTGTACTAGATGTACTCGAAAGCCCCTTCTACTCTCCATTCTCCAAGCACAAAGCCAAAAAAATCATGAACTCCATTCAGCCAAGAGAAGGATGTTCATCATGATGGCAAAACAAAGAAACTGCAAAGCTCATTTAATGACTCTTTCAATTTTAACATAAGCTGTCCCTGAACATAGCCATGACACTCTCAAAAAATGAATGCCAAATGAAAAAACTGAAAATGCCAACTAATTTTCTGGGCCCTATTCTATGTCCTTAAAATAGTACAGAGAGATGAACAAAATGTAATGTTTACTACCTCCTGCCCATTTTTTATGTAAATTTGAATTTGCTCAAAGTACAAATGAGCAGAGAGTAATAGCAGGGAAGCAGAGTGAAATAAATTTCTTTCACCTTCAATCCATCAAAGAGAAACAGAAATCTAGGTTTCACATAAGCTTTACCTCAATAATTTTTAAGAGCATATCTACATCCTTTTTAGAAAGCAGTCCCATATAATTAGATTTAACTTGTTTAGGTTTGAATTTATTATACCAGGTTACAAACACCATGAGTTTTTATTACGTTTTTGCTCTTGAGTGGACTTCAAAAGAAAGAAAAAAAGAGACAAAGCAAAAAACAAAAAAAGACTACCCAACCAAAAATGTGGAAAAATGTTTAACGAAAGTCAAACTAACATTAGCAATTCTACCTAAACCAAGATCTCAAGTTCAGCTGAAATGATGCAGGAAAAAAAATCAAATAGCTTACTAACGACAATTGGTTTACAACACATTGGATTATTTAATCCTAAAGTTATATGTGAAATTTGTTATAGTGACGTAACTATCTTACACCAAACTGTAAAAGGAGACCTGTCGTGGAAGACTTGAACTGAGCCCAGGTTTAAGCCAAAGCCAGGATTGTTCCCAGACTGCAGGAAACAGTGCTGGCCTCAGCAAGGACATGTAGGGAGGAACACATGTGCATTACTGAGTGTCCTGGAAACAGAACTCTTTAAACCATATACCTTTTACTTTTAATTAACACATCTACTCATACAAAGAAAACTGTTTGAAATCTTGAAACCAGTCAAATTTAAGTAGCAAGGAAAAGATCTAGGATAGGAGAGAATAATCAAAGTCACATTTTCCTAAAACTTTCAAAATATCCGATAACAAAACTGTCAAGACAAAAAATGATTACTGATAGCACCTGGGACAAAGGTGAATCATTTACCAAAAGAATGCATTACCATTCATGAGATGGATGGAGAAAAAATAAGGGAAAGCAAGACACCAACCTCTCCAAATGGAAAATCTGTTGGTTTATTTTAAACCTTTACGGCTAATTGAGTTACATTCCTTAGGTTAATGGTCCTTGTGGGTTTAATCCCTAATGATCAAAACCCATTAGGGAATGAAGCTGTGTTTAAATGGAGTTGTGTTAACAGGAAGACAGTGATGTGGCAAGGTGTTGCAAGGCACGCTAAACCCGCACAAGAATGGTTCCGATTGTCTGATTTACAAACATCATAAAACTATCTTAACCCATACTCAAGTAACTATATGCCTGCTAATTATCACTAATATAAAATGTACGGTCTTACTGGCACGCCAGTAAGTTAGAGGAAATCCTCGTCTAAAATTTCTATTCCAACCTACAAGAAACTGCATTTTAGAAAACAAGTGGGGAAATCTCTCCCAGCCTTTCCCTTCGGTCTCAAGACAACTCAGAAATACACTAAAACTATCATTGCTTACTTAAAATCATGTCAGTGTTTTCTAATTTAGTTCATTTGCTATTTGCCTCTGCACTGTGAGACATAAATTTAACATTTACCAGTTCTGCCTTTCCGGGGGGGAAGAAACTTCAATTTAAAAAAAAAAAAAAAACTTCAAAAATCAATATTTTACAACAGCTTCTAAGCATCCTAGCCTGGGTCTGTGAGGAAAGAGATTTATGAACTTGCCTCATTCTCAACTTATGAAAACTAAGGAACACATTTGCTATTACTGTGTCTCCCCACCCCTTTCCATATCCAACTCTGTTTAGTGAAAGCACAGTAAGTACTCAAGACAAGGAGAATATGCCAGTCCACAGTGATCTGGAAAGTTCTCCCGAGCTTTGAAGGACTCAAACACAACACCCTTCTGATGCAGATATGCATGTTCCTAACCACAAGGACACACTGCCAGAGCTCCTTTAACAAAAGGGAAGTCAAGTGAAGAGCTGATTTTGAGAGGGAGATCATGGTGGTTAGGCATTCTGGCACGCAGTTATAAATGCAGAACTGGAGGTAAGAAAGTGGAGCTAGAAATACAATTTGGGGAGACAGTCATATAAAAGTAAAAGTGGCAACTATGGTGGTGAATTACCTAGAAATGAGGTAAGAAGGTGAAGTTCATATGCATGAAGACAGACCACAAAATGGAGGCACAAAGATAAAAGACCCCAAGATAAATTAGCCTGAGCTTGAACGCAGTGAAAAAGGAAGAGGGAATGGTCAACCATGTTAAATGCCGTGGCAGCTAACAGGAAAGGCTAAAAACATCAGCTTAAAAAAATAAAAAACTTGGGGCCAGCCCCAAGGCTGAGTGGTTAAGTTCCCACACTCTGCTTTGGCGGCCCAGGGTTTCACTGGTTCGGATCCTGGGCGCAGACATGGCACCGCTCATCAGGCCATGCTGAGGCGGCGTCCCACATGCCACAACTAGAAGGATCCACAACTAAAAATATACAACTATGTACCAGGAGGCTTTGGGGAGAAAAAGGAAAAACAAAATCTTTTTTTAAAAGAAATAAAAAGCTAATACTCAATGCCTACTCTTTGCCAGGTATCCTTAGGAAAGCTTTACATATACTAACCTATTTAATCGTTACAAGCGACCTTATAAGGTAGGTACTAATATTAGCCACATTTTATGGATAAAGAAATTGAAGCATGGAGTTAACTTGCTAAAGGTCACACAGCTATTAGTAAGTGGCAGAACTAGAATTCAAACCCCCAGAGTCTGGCTCCAGCAAGCTAGCGCTTTAGCATCATAACATTTAGCCTCTTAAAAAGGTTATTAGGAAATCACTGTCAATCTTTAACAGAAATTTCAGAAAAGTAATGGAAACAAAAGGAAAATAGTAAAGAGTTAAGTGGACAGTGACCAAGTGGAAGCAGTTAAGTCTCAGAAAAGATAAATGAAAGCAAGCTCAAGGAAGTTTTTTGGAACAGGAGGGACCTGAGCACAACTGTGGCCTGAGTGGAGGGAGGAAAGACTCAATTTAAATTTAAGGCACAAAAAGAAGAAAGAGAAGGGGGAAAAAGAATATTTCCACTGCGGGACAGTATAAGCAAAGGCTCTGAGGTGCACAGGTGCAGAGCATATCCAGGGAATAACAATCCAACTTGAGAAGAGCTTGGGAGCAACAGAAAATAAGCTGTAAAGGTCCAAGTGGATGGCAGGTGTGAAAAAACAGAACAGAGGGGGATAGGACTAGAGGTCACTGGGAAGATGAGAAGTCATGTTAACAGAGGCGACAAAGTGCCAGAACTGGAAGGTTAGGAAGACTGTGATATGGAGAAGTGCCAAGGAGAGTTGGCCACAGCTATGAGGACAACCCGGGCATAGCCAAGCAAGTGAAGATGGAAGACAAGGACCAGACTTCCTGATGGTCACCACAGGGACATCAGTGGGGGAGAGAGTGCAGCAGGAACATTCTGAATTGAGTACTAACTGCCAAAAACATCCCGGGGATGCAGAATCCTGGAGGGCACAGGTTTCTAAAGAGAAGGAAAATGAATTAACATCCACTGAGTACCTACATTGAGCAGGCACTGAGCTAAACGCCATATATAAATATATACAAATATACATATATAAAATCATGTTTAATTTTTAGAACCACCTGTATGTAGCAGGTTGAATGGGGGCCCCCCAAAATATGTGTGCACATCCTAACTCCCAGAACCTGTGAACGTTATCTTATTTGGAAAAGGAGTCTTTGCAGCTGTAATTAAGTTAAGGATCTTGAGATGAGGAGATCATCCTGGATTATCTGGGTAGGCCCTAAATCCAATGACAAGTGCTCACACAAGAGAAAGGCAGAAGGAGATTTAACA